AACTGCTAGGATTATCAACCAAAACGTAAAATAAAAATTTATTCTAGTGGTGTAACGGGTATGCGGTCTGTTATAAAAAAAAACTCTTTTTTCTTTTATTTCTCTATATTTCGCTGATTTTTTGTCAGCTTCATCAGGAGACAACTAAAATATGGTTAAAATTTACATAAATATCAGGTAAGAACAAACAAATACTAGATTTAGAGTTAAAAATATTTAGAAATGTTGTACATAATAATATGTTCAAAACAGTACTAATAATATTGGTTAAAAACACTAAAAATTAAACATTAAAAATATACAGGGTGATTTAAAATATAATTGTAAATAGAAAAAATACTAAAATTTGCTGTTAAACATCTTTGAAAATAATGGATAACCAAAACATATCCTTAAAAAGTTGATATTTAACTCAGACATTTTTGACGGTCCCACTGATATCGGAGCAGTACAAAAAATCCAATATAAAAAACTACCATTAATAAAACAGTTAACACCTTCTGTGACTAGTTTCTTTAAACAATTCACCAACATTAAAATTGTCAATATAATTTATTAGAAAACCGACAACTGTTTTCTAAAGTAAAAGACAAGACACCAACTGTAAATAAAACTAATGTCATCTACAAACTGCCTTGTTTGGATTGCCAGAGCTGTTATGTTGGCCAAACTTCTCAATGGCTTAAACAAAGGGTACACACAAGCATAAAAGTGACTGCACAAAAAAGAAGAATACATGTGCGGCAGTTGACCATTACTTAAAAACTGGGCATCAATTTGACTACTCAAATGTCAGGGTTCTACAGCAAGAAAATAATTATAAAAAAAGATTGTTTTTAGAAATGTGTCATATTAATAGAGAAAAATATGCAGTAAATTACAAGGCAGACAGGGAGAGTCGAGCAATATCTGCTGCAATATTCTTAGTATATTCAAATAATTTTTCTATTTACAATTATATTTTAAATCACTCTGTATATTTTTAATGTGTAATTTTATTGTGTTTTAATTGTTTCTTGGTTGTTTTTGTTTGTTTTTTTTTAATATTTAATTAGCTTTTAACCAATATTGTTAGTACTGCTTTGAACATATTATTATGTACAACGTTTTAAAATATTTTTAACTCTAAATCTGTAAGTAATTCATTGTATATTCTTACCTGATATTTATATAAATTTTAGCCATATTTTAGTTGTCTCCTCATGAAGCTAACAAAAAATCAGCAAAATATAGAGAAATAAAAAAAAGAGTTTTTTTTTTTAAATAACAAACCGCATACTCATTACACCACTAGAATAAATTTATATAATATATATATATATATATATATAATATATATATATATATATATATATATATATATATATATATCGAGATTAGCAACGCGGTTACAAGCAGCATTTGTTTTATGTGGAATATTTTCAAGGAATAAAATCTTTTATTACAGCTTTTAAGTTTTAATTTGTTTGTTGATGACATAAAAAAACTTGAAATCCCATAATTTTTCTCTACGTAAGTAAGTCGGTTTCATTAATCATGTTAAGGAATCTTTTCGTATGGTTAAAGGAAACATAGGCATATCTGTAAGAAATAAAATTGCCAAAGTAGAAATGCGAAGATTTCTATTGTCGAAACCAAAATTCAGAATTTTGCTTTAATCTGTGCCTTCCATAAATTGGCAAAACAGACGATGCGAAAGGTGCAAGAGATATATGAGGGATCTAAAAGTTGCAATCTATAACATTTACTCTAAAGAGTAAAACGAAATAAAAAAGCACAGTTAAGAACTTTGAATTACAGCGTTGCGCGTTGGCGGGACAATAAACGAAAATGTTGCATAATATCGTGAAAACTAAATGTTCGGACAATTCACGAAATTACTATTTTAATATGAGATTACATTGTCACGCGTCTTTACAACAGCGGCAATCCTGTCTAGCATTGTGTACTATCCCATAATTCACATAATTTACTCTCGAAATCCTCGACGGTCCTCCGGGGATCATTACGAAATGTCTGTTTGATTTTATGCCAAAATGTCTCAATAACATTAAGTTTTGAACTGTTCAAAAGCCATGAAAGAACTTTAATGGTATTGTCTACAAACTATTTTTTAGTTGTTTTAGATGTATGGCATGCAGCACCGGCTTGCTGGAATATAAAATTCAAGTCTGGTAGAGATCATGAGAACTTGAAACAAGACTATTTTCAAAATTCCTTGTGATACTTTGCTGTGTTAATTATGCCTTCCACCAGCTCATATCTTCCAATGATCTTTAAATCATAATTCTTTGGGAAACTTCCCAGTTCTTTTCAGGCAATCTTTATGGAATGCTTGGTTTTGACTTATGATAATCCATTTTCGAAAGTCTTCTACCCAAACATGAATATCACTCTGAACCAGTCATGAACGGGCCATGAAAACTTTAAGCCACCGCTTCAATTGGACAAGATCGAAGATTTCATGGACCGTTGATGATTTCAGAGTCATATTCAGTGACGAATCGAAATTTGTTGTTTGCGTTGGAGACTTTCGAAAAACGGGATAAGTTATTTCTATATTTACATTATCTTCGCCGAAGTTAAAATAAAATAGACGGCTATAACTATTACAATAACAACTTTGACGTTTCAATAAATTATTTTTCTGAAGCTATTTTCTTGTGGCATTTTAAAGTAAATAATATTTTATTGGAAATAAGCCACAATTAAAGGTTAAAATAATGTTTATTGACGTTTCAATTTCCACATTTGCATACAAGCAAATGCATTTTATGCATTCTATGCAGTGAAGTTTTTAGTCATGGCGTTATAAAGCCATCTAAACTGGAAGATCATCTGAGAATATGTCATCCTGATAAAACAGATAAAGCTATGAAATATTTTTAAAAACATAAAGAGAAACTTCAGAAGATACACACGCTGGCCAAAATCTTTGCTTCGACGTCTCAAAGAAATTATGATGGTTTACGAGCATCTTACAATATCTTGTTGCTTATAACGCATATCCGGAAAACCGCATACTATCGGAGAACAGTTAATTTCGCCAGCCATTGAAGTGATTTTAAAAACTGCATCTATCATTTAAACAATTTCTTTAAGTAACAACACAGTTTAAAGATGTATTGATGAAATGAGTTATGATGTTAAATCTTGTGTCATTATTTGCAAACTAGCTATTTTCTCTACAAAGCTGGATGACAAAATTTTACCTGATAATGAAGCGTTATTATTGGCATATGATCGTTTTCTGCACTGCTTCATCCAGAGACAACATGTAGTTGTTTAAAATTTGAATTAAAGATTGCGTGAATCTCTCCAATTTGTCATTGCGTTGAATACGCGATTACTAGCGCAGTTGTCTGAAGAAAATGGCGATAACGTTTACTAATTACTTCTTTACACTAATGTACGCTGGCTGTCGAAAGGCTATTGCCAAGATTTTTTACACTATTTGAAACTGCTTTAGAGTTTCTCGATAGTAAAGATACAAATTTTACAGATTTATTTACCAAATTTAATATGCAAACTTGCAGTTGCGAGATGACAGAGTTTGAATTTAATAAAAACAAAGCTGATTTCAGCGATTCTTGCCAGAATTAAACTGATAAAACAAAACATCGGACGGTACGAATTTTCCCAATTCTTCCATTGGTTCCAGGTAATTTGCCAGGAAGACAATGTTTCAATCTATATCCAACATTTGAATGCAGTCTATTCAGATTTTGACACAGATTTGATAATATTTTGACGCTGGTAATACCGCACGGATTATCAATTTATTTGGTGACATTAAAGAAACGGATGTTACAATACACTAAAAATTGAATGAAATAAGCACTAACGAAGAAGTTAAAGGTACATTTTAGAAACGGATTTAAACAATTCTGGCTTTAAAAAGACATACTTGTTACTTATCACGTATTATGGAATACTGTTAGAAAATTTTTTTAATTGCTTTTTTTCTTCATACCTGGTAGAAAGGTGTTTCGGCGCAGTTATAGATCCAATAACAAAAAAAGATAAGATCAAACCAACTGGACATTATTAACCAAGGAGATTTAACATGAAATTAAATTAAATTAAATTAAATTAAACCGAACTAAATTAATACCACATGTTGATATGGTTTATCATTAAACCATCAAGGTTATTCCTCCCAATAAAAGGATTTATTTTTTGCTTTGTCTTTTTCATGTAACGTAACAGTTACTATATGTAATTAATAAACGTTACAAAATTAACAAAATTAATTCATAAAATTAACAAAAGAAGAGGTAGACCCAGAACGAGGTGGATTAGTAAAGTGGAGGAAGACCTTAAACACGTGAAGGTGAGGGACTGAAAAAGAAAAGCACAAAATAGAAGCGAATGAAGAAATATTGTACAACAGGTCCTTCAGAGTAGTTAAGAATGTTGTATATACATATTTAAGTTAAAGTTTTGTTTAAAATAATTGTAATTAGTTAATATTAGGATTATGTTGTAAAAAAATGCCCTAGGCCTTGACAGCCTGTTGTGCGTGAAAATAAATAAATTAATAAATGTGTAAAAATGTGTCACTACTGTTAGAAATTTAAATCTGTCAAAGTGAATAGCAGGGGTCTATCTAAAATTGAACAACATGACAAGGGGTCTACGAGAGAAAAAAGTTTGAGAACCTCTGATATAGACGAACCAAGCTAAAATGAAATATTAGAAATGGTAGAAAAATTAAAAAACAATTTGGGAAAAGGCAAATAAGAGCCGAAACCTAAGGTATGGGGAAATTTATTAAAAGCCAAAGTATGTGAAACGATTAAAACAATTAGGGTAAAAGACCGAATACCTCGAGAGTGGAAGAATTATACTACACGTTCTATTCTTCTCTGCTTTTTATGCACGTCTTGTACTAGATCTCTTTTTGTTCTGTTTTATGTTTTAACATTCGTATTTATTTTTAATTTTTCTTAAATAAATTAAAATGATAAGTAAAAATATGTATTTTCCTTCTATTTTAGGTATGGAAGAAAGTTTTTATTAATTTGGGGGATGATTTTTTGCGCAGTGTTCGGTATTCTTCGAACTTTTATGCCAACTTATGAATTGTTTTTACTTTTTGAGTTCTTAGATGCGGCGTTTGGTGCTGGAACTTATATATGTGGATTTGTTTTAAGTAAGTACCAATGCTGTTTTAATATTATTTGTGTATTTATATATATTTAATCGTATATTAATGGTTATATGCTTGAAGCACTAAAACACGTGTTTTTCTATTAACGTATCTTTTAGAAATACTGTTTGAAGTTAGTAAAAGCTCGTGTGTCTTGGTGAAGTAAATTTGTTTAAAATAGTTTGCATTTATACCTCCATTTGGGCTAGTCATGAATGTTTTATTGTTTTGTGCACATATTTTTGTTTTTAGCTTCTAACCTTTTATTTCTTCATTTTTTCATGGGTACGTAGGTACTGCAGCAAAGATATTACGGTTGTGGCATTTGGCACAACTTTTACCAGTTGTTGGAGACTTTACGTTGGTGTGTTTTATACCCACATCAATGGCAACCGATCTGACTAAAACTAGGCATTGACGGGAGCGGCTTATTTCTTGATACGTTAGCTTCTACTTCTAGTTAACTTTGCTTAGATTTGAACTGTGATTTACTGACTTTAATTACCCTAGAAAATTCAACAGTCTTTGTTAATGTAGATTTGGCCCTCTTAGTAGTTTTTCTTAGATGTTTTGTCTCATATACTCACCTATCGCTATTCTGTGTCATATTACACTTTCGGACTTATTATGTTGTACCATAAATACATAGGGAGAGGAGGCCAAAAAATTGAATCAAAAAAAAAGGTATAGCAATAATTTTGGAAAAAATTAATATGTATTAAAGAAAACAATAGTTCAAAGCTCAAAGGGACAGTTTTACATCATGGTTAGGGTAAAATAACCCCGTTCATGAGGTAAAATGAACACTACAGTTCTTTTGTACAGAAAAATAAAAATGAAACATTTCCATTTACAGAATATACATACAATTTCTGCTCTCCAGTTACATCCGCATACAATAGATGGCACCATTTATTGCACAATGTGCAATTAATCCAAACCTCCTTCATCTGCTACGTATGTCACCACGGGGGAACAAATAGCGGTCTGAACTCCTTCTATTGCCTCGGGTGCTCTGTAGAGGGCTTCAGAGACGTCAACGAAAGCACCTCTACTTAAGTCCATTTCAGGTTATGGACTTGTAAAAGTTTTCTATCTGATGACTCGTCTTTTCAAGTTTAAAGTTGAATAATTACTCAGCCACAGAGTATGGAAAGCTAAAAAGGAAGCAGAGCCCCGAGAGCACTAAGCTCTCGGAGAGCCCGTGAGGGACTGACTTGGTTGACCTGAAAATCGCCTATTTTTATACACGCTGAAGTAGCGATAAATAGGGATTTCCAGGTCAGGGACCAATAGGAAAATGAGGGGCGGGGCGATGCGTATCGAGCGCGTCTTGAGGTCATCCCCCTCCTCTGGAGACTCTGTGGCTGGGAAAGAAATTTACCAATTGCAAAGCTTGTAATGTCAACTTTATCGTTTGAAGCAAAGACTTCCGGATTTGAAGCTGCAGTGGATAAAGTTTTATTTTCTGATAATCCTACGAACTGTTTCCAAAAAGGTGATATCATCGGATGATCGTCCATTTACTTTCCATTCCTGTCACTTGTCTGATGAAGCTGTATTACGAATTTTTCTTTTCCTTATAAGTAAAAAACTTGAAAGCGAAGAAAGCTCTTTGTACTTTTCTTTTCCTTTTAGGTAAAGAACTTGGAAGCGAAAAAGTATCTCTTTGTGGAGATGTAGTTCTTGGTCCATGAATAGGATCAACGGTTTCATTTCATCCAACTGAAGCCACAAAAAATCCGTTATCATCGTTGGATACCTTTCATCGTTGACTGTTACACCATGTTCGAAAAAATAAGGTCCGATGATGCCACCATGCCTTAAACCACACCAGACAGTGACTTTTTCTGGATTCAAAGGCTTCTCAAGAATATCATGTAGATTATTTTCACTCCAAAAACGACAATTTTGCTTATTCACAAAGCCGTTTAACCAAAAATGAGGTTCATCGGAAAAGATTATTTTTTTGAAAAAATCGCCATCATTTTCGAGTTTGTCTAGAGCCCAATGGGCGAACAAACGACGCTTATGATGGTCAAGTGGCTTCAGTTCTTGAGTCAGAACAATCTTGTAAGGGGGTAGGCCTAAATCATTTCTTAGAATTCGCCAAGTTGTCATTCTTGGTGAGTCCAAGTTCTTGGGAACGACGATTTACGGAAACATTTGCATTCTCTGCTACACTGGCTCTTACAGTCACAATATTGTCCTGAGTTCTTGCATTTCAGCGTCTAGTTGGTGGTTTCGTATCATGCAGAGTAAATTCACGTTTAAACTTTTCCACGATTCGACGAATTACACGCACATCAGGACGATGATTTGGTCCATAACTTTCACGTAATGCACGATAGGTATTCACAAAAAAAAAACGATTATTACCATGAAATTTTAGGATAATTTCCAAATGTTGTTCAACCGTATATCTTGCCATGGTAATTTGATAGAGTATACTGAATAAAAACGTCAACAAGTGACAGTTCTACAATTTTCAAAATGGCCGCTATGACATTTCAAAAACAGGACGTCCCTATTGGGAAACCCTTTATATTCTCATTAGATTGATGTCATTTTTATTTTGTATTTTATCTAAAAGGGAAAAAATTAAAGCCTTACTCTGGCGGTTGAGTCAGTCTCAGGAGTTCTAAAAGAAATCTCTGAATGTCTCTTTAGAAAATCTTTAAAACCGTTTCAGTTACTTTGTTTTTAAACAATTTACGTTTAATACCGTTTCCCTCCGCAAGCTCATAGGCTATTTCACAAATGCTTTTCTTCATCACGTCGAATAGTTGATCTTCTCTATCTAAAACATACTCCTTTAAGTAAGTCTCCTATTCTTTGGGCAATATTGTAGTCAATCGACCAAGGCTTGCCTTAAAGAAAGTACCGATAATGTTCTGACATCTCCCTTACGAATAAAGTAGTCTACATTTAGTTCACTTCCCAATACATTATGATTTTCGTCCCTTTTTTAAATTAAGAGCAACAACTATTATTTCCGTAGAGATGATAATCTACATTCATTAATATTAATATAAAAATATTTCTGTATCACTCAAAACTTTATTTGGTACGCTAAGCAAAGGTAAAATGGTCCCCGAAGTCATTTTGCCTCAATAAGGAGGACCATTTTACCTCAAAATCTGAATAAATATAAAAACTAATTTACATGAGTGACTTCTGATAATTAGAGAAATTCCAACATATATGAAATAAACAGAAAAAATGCTTTTTTAAGCTCCATTAAAAAAATCTACCTACTTTAATTAAAACGTCTAAAAGCACAACTTTTGTAAGCACCAAAGAATTAAGACGCATTATGCGTTTATATTCTTTGGTAGTACTGAATATAATAAAGAAAGCGGAACGGCGGCTTTATGAAAATTATAGGAAATATGTTAGGGGGCCATTTTAGACTTTCAGACTTTCCCCTATGATGTAATACATATTTCGTATGATGTAAGTCTTGCAATCGTCGTTGTGCTGGTAAAATCTGCTACGTACATTTTTTGGTGAAATTGAGTTATGAGCACAGAAATTCTTAAAATTTAATTCTTAACACATTGGTGTAATCTGCTATAGGCTATAAATAGAATTAACCAAGTTATAAACATTTGGTTAAAATCTGCTGTGTTCAGGTGAGGTAAAATCTGCTATGTGCTAAAATTACATGTAACCGAAATTGCTCTTTGTAAAAGTTGAGCGACTACGTGCACTTAACAGATTTTAACTCTATTAAACTCCACGTTATAACTATATTTTAGGCACTTTTATATTAAAAACACATTCTTTTGTGTTAATTTCATTATAAATTTGACTGAGTATACACATGAATTTGACAGCTAAAAAGAATCGATTGATTCTTTCAACAAAAAGGGAGAAGGAAAGATAACTCAAACAGTAGAAAGACAGCAAAGATGTGTACTGCCAAGATGCAAGCATAACGATATCAAACAGAAAACAAAAAGAATTCATTTATGTGCTCAAATAACAGACGACGAAAGAAAACAGATTAGCATTATGTTTTGGAATTTAAAAAGTTGGGAGTCAAAAAGAGTTTTAGTACAAAGTAATGTTGACATACACTTGTAACGATGAGTCCAAGCCATCACCGTTAAACCAGCGTGCGCGCGAACCAACCCATGAAGTAGGAGTGTATCGACAGTAGAAAGGGCAAAACTAATTACCAAGCTCCGCTATATAAACCGCAACATTTCCTCATAGAGGCAGAATCGACAGGTGTTGACTGAAGGTTCTCTTCTTCCCTACCCCGGCTTGTGGACGTGTTGAGTTCACAAGTTGTTCCGTTCCATACCGCCGTTACCCGAAGAGCGTGTTGAGCTCTTCATTACCCGTACTCTGAAGCAGTCGTGTTGAGACTGTCGAGGAGTGTCCTATTAACCCGAATCACTTAAGGAACGTGTTGAGTTCCTTTCCTTTCTTTGTACCTATCGTCCGCTGTTATTAAATCGATACAACGTTCTCGTAAAATTTCAAATACACACTCGCTTGCCGATAAGACTAATTTCATATGACAAGGTCAAACTTAATTTGAATAAATAGGCCAGGTACTGAGAAGACTAAACCAAATTGTAAATATGAACATAAGATTTTTGTCAATTTAATTTAAGGAAGACAATAAAGTTTTATTTTTATTTTGAACTCTGTCTCTGACTGTCCAAAAGCTACCCGGATAGTGACTCCTACGAGAGGACATCACAAATGGCGCCCGAGCAGAAAAATACATTTTAAACAATAATACCGACCGAATTCCGAATTTTATTTTCATGAGACAGTACTACATTTCAAATTTTATTCAAATACAGGGTGATTCACAGTTCAAAAATGACAGACGCTCCGGAAACGTCGAAGGTTAGTTGGGTGTACCTATTAAAGAAAGACGAACTTATAGCCGAATTAACAAACAGAGAACAGTCGACGGAAGGGAATTTCAGCGAGCTAAGAGCGAGATTAGTTGCGATCATCAAGGCACCAACTCAAAAAGG